GGGGGGCCCCCCCGCCCCATAGCGGGAAAAACCCCCCCAAAAAAAAAAAAAAAAAAGCACAGTGGAGAAAGATAAATAAAAGTAAATACGATTTGAAACATTGCAGTGATGCTGAAAAACACAAAGCACCTTAAAAGCAACCCAAGTGGGGGTTAGGGGCTTGGGGAGCCAGCAGATGATATAATGATTACATCACTGGACTCCCACATAGTCGTCCACAGTTCGAGTCTCAGACCTGGCAGCTTAAAACTCATGTCAGGCTGGGACCAGCAGTTAGCGTAATGGCTATGTTGCTGGACTCCCATGTAGTCGACCACGGTTCGAGTCCCAGATTCAGTGGCTTGAACTCATGCCAGGCGTGCGTGTGTGTGTGCCCAAGACCCCAAGAAGAGAATGGAGGAGAAAGGATTGCGGCGTAGCCATCACCCCTGGGGGGTGATTTCTTGCTTTCTGTCTCTCTGGTGAGCGCACGTGCCCTATAGCAAAAACCTCTCCAAAAAAGAAAAACTCATGCCAAGTGCAAAGTTCGAGTCCTGGACCCAGCTGCCTAAAACTCAGGCCAGGCACGTGTACATGCATGGCCAAAATCCTAAGAGGAGAATGGAGGAGAAGGGAATGTGGCATGGCCATCCCCTCTGGGGTGATTTCTCACTTTCTCTCTCTCTCTCTCCCCAGCAGGCACAGACATCCTATAGTAAAAATCCCTCTCTTAAAAAAAAAAAAAATGCAACCATAGGGCTAGCAGTTGGTGCAATGGCTATGTTGCTGGCCCCTCAGTGCAGCAGCTGGACTCTGTGCATAAGAAGCCAGACCCTACATGGCCAACTGAGATTTGAGTCCAGCTCCAGCAGCGCGAGGGGGCAAGCCAAGCATGTGTGCATCTGTGCTCAGGGTTCTGATGAGATGGAGAAATGGAGGAAAAGGGATTGTGTTATGGCCATGCCCCAGTGTGAGAGGGTGCTTTTTCTCGCTCTCTTTCTGGTGAGCACACATGCCCCCTGGCAATTAGAGAGAGAGAGAGAGGACAGATCCACATGGCTACTACAGCTCAAATCCTAGCCTGTCAGTTGAAATACATCAGACAGTATTCAACAGGCTGGAGGACAAAGAAATAAGATTGAGGGCCAGCCGATGGTGTGGTGGTTAAGGTACTAGATTTCACACAGTCAACCACATTGAGAGTTCTGGACCTGGCAGCTCAAAAATCATACCAGGTGCGTGTATGCATGTCCAAAATCCCAGGAGGAGAATGGAGGAGAAGGGATTGCAGCAGCATGGCCATCCCCCCATAGGGTGATTTCTCCTTTCCCTCTCTCTGTCTCTGTCTCTCTCTGGCAAGCACACGTGCTCTATGACAAAAAAAATTAAAAAACAAAAGAAAGAAGATCACCGCATGACCATACGTGCTTATCTCTCTCTCCTTTCTTTCACTGTCACTCTCATATACATGAATAAAGAAAAAGTAGGGGGACCAGCGGTTAGCGTAATGGCTATGTCACTGAACTCCCATGTAGTCAGTCACAGTTCATGTCCCGGACTCGGTGGCTTGAACTCACACCGGGCACGTGTGCATGCATGCCCAAGATCCTGAGAGAAGAAAGGATTGTGGCGTGGCCATCCTCCTGGGGTCTGCTTTCTCGTTTTCTATCTCTCTGCCTCTCTCTGTCTTTCTGGCAAGCGCACATGCCCTATAGCAAAAACCTCTCCAAAAAAAGAAAAAAGAAAAAGTAGTGGAGCCAGCAGGTGGCATGGTGGTTGGGGTACTAGATTCCCACATGGCCAACCACAGTTCGAATCCCAAACCTGGATTGTGTTCTCACTTTCTCTCTCTCGCATTCATGCCCTGTAGCAAATTGAAAAATAATAATAATTAATAAAATTAAATAAAAAATTCTTTAAAAAAGAAAAAATGTTTCAGGCCTTTAGACTTTTAAGTACATTTGTAACCAGGAGGAATGACCCTTGGAGATGCAGTTCTCAGTCCTAGCAGGATATTAGAATCTCTTGAGAGAGCTCTTTAAAACCCCAGTGCTTGGTACCAGCAGATGGTGTGATGGTTACATTGCTGGACTCCCACGTAGTCAACCACAGTTTGAGTCCCAGACCAGGTGGCTTAAAATTCAGTGTGGGGCACATGTGCGTGTGTGTCCAAAATCGCGAGAGTAGAAAGAGAGAAGGGATTGTAGCGTGGCCGTTCCTCCTGGGGGTGATTTCTCACTTTCTGTCTTTCCATCTCTCTGTCTCTGGTAAGCACACACACCCTATAGCAAAAATTCTCTCTAATATAAATAAATAGATCAAATAAAGCCCCAATGTCCAGGCCACAAAACAACAACAACAAAAAACGCACACCAGGTGCATGTGCATACATGCCCAAAAGCCCCAAAGGAGAATGGAGAAGGGATTGCGGCATGGCCATCTTCCTGGGGTGGTGAGTTCTCACTTTCTGTCTGTCTGTCTCTCTCTGTCTCTGGTGAGTACATACACCCCATAGCAAAAATCTCTCTCTTAAAAAAAAAAAAAGTTTGGAAGTGATAGCGGGTGACAGATATACCCTGTCGGGGGCACATTTGTTGGTGATGACTTGAGACTTTTTGGGTCAGCATGGAGTTGGTTCCTATCTGCCCTTCATATTCATTTCGCACAGGAACCATCTGGTCTATGCTTTTCTTTTGCATAGGCTTCAACGTTATTAAAGAAAAATGACCAAATGCCTATTTACACATGGCACTATACTAGATACTCCAAAACCACTGACAAATGGCTTAGCAATAATCTTACAAGTCATATACAAATCCTTTTGTAATAAAATACTCCTCTGTTTATTGTGTCTTTATATAATTCAAACTCAAATGTATTAATAACCTTTTTATAAATGTGCATAAAGGCAGCAAATATAAAGCCTATCAACCCTGCCTCAGGCTACTCAGATGACATCCATGCCATTGATCAGATATTCAAGAACAAGCAGACTTGGACTGTGGCCGATGCAGCTGCTATTAAACCACACGTGAGTATGCATTGCTGAATGCCTTCCCAGAATGCACTGCAAAAATATTTTCCACTTCAATGTTGTACCAAAAAAAGCTAGAGAACTTTTATCAGCTCTGCCTTTAAAATGAGACAAGATCATTTCTCATTTTTACCTATTGTAATGACATGCCTTACTCTATAATCAAATGGATTCAAATGTTAAGTGTTATGATTCATCAGACTAATCACCTGTATAATGATATTCAGCATCATTTCTGGGATATTCATTCATTTCATGCTGGAAATAGCAAGCTAATTAAGGTCATAAACTGACAGTCACAGTGAGTGGTATGCTCAGGGAGTCATGATGAGTGAAAAAGCATCTTCATTATAGCAACTAGAGAAACACTAACATTTCAGACTTGGTAGCACACACAGACACTGCTCTTTGGCAGGCAGAGGCCCACATGGCTCAGTTTCAACTTCCAGCCCATCCTATAAGGTGGGTGCAGTATGCACGCCTGTAGTCCCAGCTGGCAGGGAAGTTGAAGCAGTATGTAGTGAGACCTTGTCTTAAAAAGGAAAATAATTAGGGACTGGTGCTGGCAGGTGGTGTGGTGGTTAAGGGGACTGGACTCCCTCATGGCCAACTGCAGTTCGAGTCCTGGACCTGGAGACTTGCTTTCTCATTTTCCATCTCTCTTTCTCTGTCCTTCTCTGGTAAAATAAATAAATAAATAAATAAAGTTAAATAAAATCATTCTTTTTAAAAAACAAATTAGGGACCAACAGATGGCATAATGATTACATTGCTGGACTCCCACATAGTAAACTGCAGTTCAAGTCCCAGATACAGCAGTTTAAAACTCACACTGGGCACATGTGCCCGAAATCCTGAGAGGAGAATGGAGGAGAAGGGATTGTGATGTGTCCATCACCCCAGGAATGATTTCTTGCTTTCTGTCTCTCTCTGTCTCTCCAGTGAGAGCGCATATGCCTTATAGCAAAAAATCTCACACAAAAAAGAAAGAAAGAAAGAAAGAAAGAAAGAAAGAAAGAAAGAAAGAAAGAAAGAAAGAAAGAAAATAAAGCCTATCAACCCTGCCTCAGGCTACTCAGATGACATCCATGCCATTGATCAGATATTCAAGAACAAGCAGACTTGGACTGTGGCCGATGCAGCTGCTATTAAACCACACGTGAGTATGCATTGCTGAATGCCTTCCCAGAATGCACTGCAAAAATATTTTCCACTTCAATGTTGTACCAAAAAAAGCTAGAGAACTTTTATCAGCTCTGCCTTTAAAATGAGACAAGATCATTTCTCATTTTTACCTATTGTAATGACATGCCTTACTCTATAATCAAATGGATTCAAATGTTAAGTGTTATGATTCATCAGACTAATCACCTGTATAATGATATTCAGCATCATTTCTGGGATATTCATTCATTTCATGCTGGAAATAGCAAGCTAATTAAGGTCATAAACTGACAGTCACAGTGAGTGGTATGCTCAGGGAGTCATGATGAGTGAAAAAGCATCTTCATTATAGCAACTAGAGAAACACTAACATTTCAGACTTGGTAGCACACACAGACACTGCTCTTTGGCAGGCAGAGGCCCACATGGCTCAGTTTCAACTTCCAGCCCATCCTATAAGGTGGGTGCAGTATGCACGCCTGTAGTCCCAGCTGGCAGGGAAGTTGAAGCCGTATGTAGTGAGACCTTGTCTTAAAAAGGAAAATAATTAGGGACTGGTGCTGGCAGGGGGTGTGGGGGGTAAGGGGGTGATGAGTGAAAAAGCATCTTCATTATAGCAACTAGAGAAACACTAACATTTCAGACTTGGTAGCACACACAGACACTGCTCTTTGGCAGGCAGAGGCCCACATGGCTCAGTTTCAACTTCCAGCCCATCCTATAAGGTGGGTGCAGTATGCACGCCTGTAGTCCCAGCTGGCAGGGAAGTTGAAGCAGTATGTAGTGAGACCTTGTCTTAAAAAGGAAAATAATTAGGGACTGGTGCTGGCAGGTGGTGTGGTGGTTAAGGGGACTGGACTCCCTCATGGCCAACTGCAGTTCGAGTCCTGGACCTGGAGACTTGCTTTCTCATTTTCCATCTCTCTTTCTCTGTCCTTCTCTGGTAAAATAAATAAATAAAGCATATGCCTTATAGCAAAAAATCTCACACAAAAAAGAAAGAAAGAAAGAAAGAAAGAAAGAAAGGAAGGAAGGAAGGAAGGAAGGGGCAGTAGTATTGTATTGGGTAGATGACACCACACAGGGGAACAGTAGTGCGTGTCACAGGAGACAAAGGTGCAAGCTCCCGACCTGCCTCGTTGGGGCACTAACATACATGGAAGCTGCTTAAAACCAGAGGCTTCCAGCCCCAGGCACCTGCTGCTTGAGAAGATCAATAATGTGACATCCCTCTAACCCAGTTGAGGCAGAGTGCTAGGGATTTGCTAGCTGATTTATGTGTCTGCTGAAGGCACAGCTAGGCTGAGTACTCTCTGGCTATCTCAGTCTGCTCTCTGTTTTGGCTGCCACTGTATACCGAGAACCCTTACGTTTGTCATTAGCCTAGACTTCTTTCCTTCTGTCTTACCTCTCTGACATGGCCTGATCAACTTATCTACCTTTATGCCCCATCTCATAGCATTTCAAACTCACCATCTTCTGCATCAAAATGGCTCTCCTCTGGAGATTCTGTACTCGGTTGATACCACCATCTTCTCAGTCACTGAAGCTGGAAAGACAGGGCACAACATAGAGACTGATTTTCACGTAGCCTGGAACTTAACTCGGGATATCTATAATTGTGGCCCACAGTCAAAGATGTTTGAAGGTAATGACAATGAACTTCTGCTTTCTCACTGCAGGTGAAGAGAGCTACAGATAACTATAATTTAGGAATTGCCCTTGAGCACCGGAAAGAAATGCTAGACCTCTGGCGGAAGATCCGAGGGGATTTGGTTGGGATAGAAACTCAAAATGAGTCCTTTTATGACACATTTTCGACTTACACATGGTCCTGGAATATCTGCCAAGAATTACTTTCTCCTAAGGACTTAAGGCTACATGATGCCTACATGAATAGAAATTCCTTCTACCACTCCAGGTTCTCCTCCTTATCGGACATCAGTGAATGTGACACTGAGACAGGAAGAAAAAGAAAACGGAAAACTTCCAAAGGGTTTCGACAGTGAAATTTCTACGTTTTCTAAACAACTCATCTCAAAGTACTTTTTCATAGTTATCAAAATTATGGTTTCTTGCTTTTGTCTAGGACATTCTTAGCAGCTGGAAATTTTGACATCTTTTCGATTCTGACCAGTAAAAAACTTGAAATCGTAAAATGGTTTCCCTTTCCTGAATCTTTACTAGTACATAGACCCATGTTGCTCAGGTTCCCTAGCAACCAGCTGCACTCTGCTGCCCTCCCCTGGCTTAAAACTGCCTGGGCCTCTGCAGGAAGGAGAACGCAGGCCTGACTCCTGAGAGCGGGCCTAGCAATAAGTGACCAAGTTCATGGGGACTGTCTATGGTAATTAGAGTTTTGACTGTGAAAAGAGGCCATAGACAGCAAATGACAATGACCTTTCAGTTTGAAGAATAATATCACCAGCCCTCAGGAAACTTTGTTAAACTGGGGTGTTCACATGGTTCCTTAACCATGCATCTGCATACCTGTGGTTTGCATTACTCTTACAAATAGTTCATTTCATCCATTACATTTGGTGTTGGTTTTTTTGTTGTTGTTTTTTGGAGGTTTTTAGAGGCTTTTGCTATAGGGCAGTGTGCTCTCCAGAAAGACAGAGAGACAGAAAGCCAGAAATCACATACCTACCCCTGCAGGGGGTGGTGGTGGGGAAATGGCCACTCTGCCATCTGCTGGTCCTTCATTGTTGTTTTTTTAATACATTCAACAAAGGAGTACTACGGGGAATCAGCAGATGGCATAATGGCTATGTCACTGGACTCTCAAGTAGTCTACTACAGTTCGAGTCCCAGACCTGGCAGCTTAAACTCATGCTGGGCATGTGTGCATGCATGACCAAGATCCTGAGAGGAGAATGGAGGAGAAGAGATTGCCATGGAGCCACCCCCCCCTTGGGGGTGACTTCTCACTTTCTGTCTCTCTGTCTCTCTCTGTCCTGGTGAGCGCACATGTCCGAGAGCAAAAACTTCTCAAAAAATAAATAAAAAAGAAGCACCACAAAATTACATTACAAGTTTGGTAGGAGATGCAATTCTTTTTTATCATGGTAAAATATACATTAAAGAAAATTTACTATTTTAATCCTATTTAAGTGTGTCTCATCTGGTACATTTTTATCCTTTCTAGTTCCACTTCTGAAGTTCTTAGGGGATATTATTATGGTCCGTGAAGGTTGGCCACAGAGACAGATCACTTCTGGACTCAGGAAATCTGGATCTACCGAGACTATTTCTACTGGGTCCTCAGAAAAGTCGTGATGTATAATGCGCCATGACTTTTCTGACAACCCAGTATATGACTATTTTCATCTACTGCCAGGATGGCAAAAGTTTTTTATTTCCTGTGCCAATTCTTATCTAAAAGTGAAAAGAATGAGACGACTATTTGTAGAAATTATAAGAGATTTGTTTACAGATGTGCAGTTAAGTCCACCACAATTGACATATAGAACAAAGGCTTGCTAAGTCATTATTCTAGAAAAATATGATCCAGATAAAAGAAAAGATATGTTCAATATTGGTGAAGAGGGACTTGCAGGTGGCATGGTGGTTAAGGGAGCTGGACTCCCACATGACTGACCATGGTTTGAGTCCCAGACCTGGCAGCTTGCTTTCTCACTTTCCCCCTCTCTCTTTCTCACTCTGTCCCTCTCTGGTCAAATAAAAATAAATAAATTGATGGATAAATAATTAAATAAAGTTAAATAAAAAGTAAATATTGGTGAAGACAGTTGCTTATAATATAAAATTATAAAATGCTAGGATAAAAGCAATGAACATAGCAAAGGCCTTCAAAACTGTTTCCTGAGGGCCATCCCCATAGCCTAGTGGTTAAGGGAACGAGATCCCAGATGGCAAACCACACAGTTCAAGTCCCAGATCCAGCAGTTTAAAAAGCTAGACACTTGTGCATGCATGCCCAAAAATCCCAACAGGATGAAGAAATTTAGGAGAAGGAATTGCAGTGTGACCATTCCCCATGGGGGATGCTTTCTCTCCCTCTCTGATTGTCTTTGGTGAGCATATACCTATTCTAGTAGAAAAAAAAAAAAAAAAGGTTACAACAACTGCTAATAGATATGGGGCAACTTTATGGGTTTATTCTAAAACTGTATTATGACAGTGGTTGTGCAAATAGAGATTTTTATGAAAATTTACAGAATTGCACACTTAAAATTTATTAATTTAGGGACCAGTAGTTAGCGTAATGGATATGTCGCTGGACTCCCACGTAGTCGACCGCGGTTCACGTCCCGGACCCGGTGGCTTAAAACTCACGCCGGGCGCGTGTGCATGCGTGCCCAAAATCCCGAGAGGAGACTGGGGGAGAAGGGATTGTGGTATGGCCATCCCCCCTGGGGGGTGATTTCTCTTTCTGTCTCTCTGTTTCTCTCTGTCTGGCAAGCACACACACCCTATAGCAAAAACCTCTCCGGAAAAAAAAAATTATTAATTTAATTGCATGTAAATTATACCTTGATGAATCCATTAAAAAAAAAAAAGTTCTGGGAACCAGCAGTTAGTGTAATGGCTATGTGGCTGGACTCCCACATAGTCGACCGCGGTTCACGTCCCGGACCCGGTGGCTTAAAACTCACGCCGGGCGCGTGTGCGTGCGTGCCCAAGATCCCGAGAGAAGAATGGAGGAGAAGGGATTGCGGCATGACCATCCCCCCTGGGGGGGTGATTTCTCACTTTCTGTCTCTATGTCTCTCTCTGTGTGTCTGGCGAGCGCACGTGCCCTATAGCGAAAACGTCTCCAAAAAAAAAAAAAAAAAGTTCTGAATTTATTTGGAATGTTGTTTTTTTTTTTAATGTTGTTTCTAGGCCAACCTTATAAATGGTAGTGGTTAAGGTAACTGGATCTCACATGGCCAACCACAAGATTTGAGTCCAGGATCCAGTGGCTTCATGTACCAGTGCATGTGTGTGCATGCCCGAAAATCCAAAAGGAGGGAGAAATGGAGAAGAGACTGTGGCACGGTCATCCCCCTGGGGGTGCTTTCCCATTTTCTGTCTCTCTCTCTCTATCTCTTGTGAGTACATGTGCCCTCTGGCAAAAACTTTTTAAAAATAAATCAAAGTTATTTTTATAGCCTAGCTGCATTGGTGCAAGCAAGAACGTGCTGCTGTGTTGTGGCTGAAGCCACATGGGAGGACTAGATTCGGTTCCCAGGTCAACCTAAACAAGCCAGGTATGGCGGCATGCACTGGAGTCCTAACTAACTGGGAAGAGGATGGCAACATGGTGAGGCCTTGTCAAAAATATCACTCTATCTCTTATTAAAAAATGGAAAAGAGGAGACCAGTAGTCAGCATGGTGGTTAAGGTGCTGGACACTCCCACATGGTTGACTGCGGTTTGAGTCCCGGACCTGGTGGCTTGCTTTCTCACTTTCCTTCTCTCTCTCTCTCATCAAATTAAAATAAAATTAATGAATAAATAAAATTAGAATAGAAATTATTTTTTAATGAAAAAATATATTTATATAAATAAATTAGAAAGAAAAAGGCTGAAAGGATATAAACCAAAGTGTTAATGGACTAAATGAATGGTGGGGTTGGAGCATTTCCCTTTGTCTTAGCTATGCAGTCTAAATATTTTATGATAAAATTTATTTATTTATTTTGTTAGGGTTTTTGCTATAGGGTGCATACACTCACTAGAGAGAAAGAGAGAGACAGAGATAGAAAGCGAGAAATCATCCCCCGGGGAGATGACCCCGCTGTAATTCTTTAACCTCTATTCTCCTCTTGGGATCTTGGGCATGCATGCACATGCACCTGGTGTGAGTTTCAAGCTGCCACGTCCAGGACTTGAACTGTGGTTGACTATGTGGAAGTCCAGCAATATAACCATTACACCATCTGCTGGTCCCAGTAAACATTTATCTTGCCATAAGAAAAAACAAAGTGTTTTAAAATTAAAGTAGTTGGGATCAGCAGATGGCCTAATGGTTACATTGCTGGACTCCCACATAATTGACCGTGGTTCGAATCCTGAACCCAATGACTTGAAACTCAGCCAGGCCCTGTGCCTGTGTGCCCAAGATCCTAAGAGGAGAATGAGAGAAGAAATTGTGGAGCCATTCCCCCAGGGTGTGATTTCTCACTTTCTGTTTCTCTGGCAAGTGCATGTACCCTAAAGCAAAAATCTCCCTTAAAAAAAAAAAAAAAGGTTACACTAGCTTATACAGTGATCTAGGACTGCTACAAAGAATGTCTAGGTTTTGTAAAACCTTAAGCAGAGCAGATAACTATCCTCATCCTCAGCTAATACCCAAGGCAATAATCCGGAATGAAAATTCTTTTTTTTTTTTTTTTTTTTTTTTTTTTGAAA